AGTTACAGAAGAGTGAAAATTTAGCGTGAGAATAAATGCGTATGGGTACAAACTCCTGTCAAAAAAACAAGTGAGTGACGACGAGAAAATAAAAAAAGTGGCTTTAAGCGGATGGGAAGGGGCATAAACATAATTAAAGCACTAATAGCCATATTTAATTAAATGATTAAAAGCCAATGCTACGGTTTTGGTTGAGTGGGTAAACAAGGGAAAATGGATGGAAATAGGGACTTGGGGGTTTTTATTTTGAGTTAGTGGTAGGGGCATCATTTCATTTCATTATCTACCCTTTAGGGATTTTAAGGGTTCCTTTATTTCAATACTTTTCATTTACTACTCTACTTGACTAAACATAATATACGAACCAATTATTTTAGTAGTACGACCAAATTTGAAAATTGTGGTGAAAACTTAAAACATACAATCATTTCACTAACATATTATTTTATTTTATGTTTTAAGTATAATGTACGACTATGCACACAAATACAATTACATAATCTTACAGACCCCAAATCCATGTTAATTCCCAAACTACAACCATGCATGCTCATACTATTCCTCGTGATTAGGCACCTCATGATCCCTTTTCATTCCACCCACATTCCTTGTGACTTAGTCACACCCACACAACACATCCATTCAAAATGGCTAAGATTTTGCAAATTTACCCTTGCTCATTACTTGTTCGTCGTGATCTGAACTAAGTCATTCATCGTAGCACTAAAATTTTCTACAGATTGATATGTTTTTTTACTTATCATAAAGATTTTCTTCAAATTGAGATCTTATCTTGTCTTGTAAATTGGGTAGGCAAGTCTATACACTTACCACATTTGCCCCCATTCATGTGATTTAAAAATGGGGTTAGACATGTCTTTTGTTTTGCTCAAAAACGTTAAAGCCAAATGTAATGAATTAACTACTTGGTTTGAAATGTCTCTATATTGTTGTAACACAGCAACCAAAGACCTGTTGTTCCTGTTGATTACTTGACAAGATAAGATATCATGAGCAAACAATAGATGAGTGATTTATGGGCGTTTGTTCTTATCAAGTTTGACAAAATATGTAGAGAGAAGTTTC